CTCGTTACCTCTGACGAACTGGAAGGCGGCAGTCGCCTGCTCCGTGTTTTGGAAAAACGTGTGGAAATACTCCTTCCTCTCCGCCTCGGAAAACCCCAGGATTTCAGCGTAGCGCTCGCAGACCAGGCACTTGCCCAGTTTCTGCAGGGCGGCCGGCCTCGTGGTGATGATCAGGGAGCTCTCGGGCAGGACCTTCCTGCGCAAGAGGCTGCTCAGGGTGACCTTCACCTGCCTCTCCTTGGGCTGGGAGCACGGCTCGCACGGGAGCAAGTCAAAGGAAAAGCGCAGCTCATCAAAGCCGTCGATCACGAAGAGGAGCTTCTCCGGCTGCGCCAGCACCTTGGCAACGGGCAGATTGTTGCCAGGATAGCACTGGCTGATCAGGTCATCCATGCTGGAACTGGGGGTGAGGAGGTTGCCCTCCCGGCAGTGGATGTAGAAGACGTAGTCAAACTCCATGAACAACTTGTCAAATGCCCAGTCTAGCATGATCTTCCTGGCTGTCACCGTCTTGCCCATGCCTGCGGCTCCCAGGAGCACGACCACCTTGGGAGCCCAGCCCTTGGAGTCAGGCTTGAAGAGGTCACCAACAGCGATGGAGGAGCTGGCTTGTTCCTTCATGATCTCCACGTGCCTCTGTCCCATGTCCATGATATGCTCCCGTTGCTCTTCATCAAGGTGCTTGGTGACGATCACCAGCTTTGAGTACCTGGTATTCAGGTCCACGTTTTCACCCATCCGGGAGTTTTGGTCCTTTATGTGGGTGAACTCCTGGCGTATGGCTTCTTTGTATTTCCTCTGGCAGTCTGGAAGGGTGGGAGGTCACATCACGTGGCTCCAGACCACGGGGTGAGCAGTGGCAGAGCCCCCACGCTTCTCCCCACCAGCACCTACCTGGTGACGATGAATCCAGTAGAGGAGCAAGGCCCAAGGCTGGAAGAGAAGGGGGTGTTAGTGGGCAGCATCACTGAGCCCCCAACATCCCCAAATCCTCTTCCATCTCCTCCTCCCTGGAGGACCCCCCCTTCACCCTGCCATGGGGACCCCCAACCCACCACCCTGCCCGTAGCATCCTCCTGGCCCCACACACGGGCTGTGGCAGACACAACACCCAGGGCACGGTGCTCAGGACCCTGCAGAATGCTGCCCTCACTGGGGAGCCACTTAGCCTTCCCACCTTCCTCTCTCTTTTCCTGGATCATGGCGGCCTTCTCGCGGCATTGGATACGCTCAAAGATGGCTATTGCCATGTCCAGGGCTTCCTCCTTGCCATAGAAACTCAGCATGAGCCTCTTCGTATCCAGCCGGTCGGCCTTCTCCAGCCGCCCCCAGGGAATGTGCCCCTGGCCCTGCAGGTCTCTGTTTGCCAGCGCATCCTGAAATTTTTTAAAATCCTGCTCGGAGAGGTCTTCCAGGGCCCGGAGCAGCACCTCCTCGATGGTGATCTTGGGGGTGTTTCCGCTCAGGGTGCAGTGCCTGCTGCTGCATCCCTCCATGGAGAGAGCCCCAACACCCGGCTAACACACGGCCCTGTGCCTGTGATGGGGGGACAAGGTTTGGGAGAACCGTCCCGCAAGGAGCCTCCCTGGCCCCACAGCCCAGCCCCC